ACTGTCTATGTTTTGACAGACAATATGCAATGTAGCCACTGGTATACAACAACCAAAATGTAGTCAAAACGCGTTGATCGGAAAACGTAAGACGCTTTGTCTTATGATAGGCATTCTGGGGCTAAGTATCGTCTTACGAAAGAGTATGAATCAGCACTAGGAGCATCTCCACCGGTCGTGAGTAAAACTAAATTTTACCCCTTTTCTGTCAATATTTAATCATAGTTTTAGTTTTGTACAGCTCCACCGGTTTGAGCAAATGCTGAGCAAATTGCTCCATTTTTTACGCAGATCAACGTTTTGCACAAGTTTGCCAACGGAGGAGGCTTTGAGTAAAATGTTGAGTACATGTAAATGTCGACCGACCAGTAGTAGGGCCAAGTCAAGCGTTCTAAGCAGCGCAAGCGTCACAGACCGCAGTGTCGCCCTTGCTACGTCATCCCTGGGTCTTCCTCAACGTGCTGCCGGGCCCTTTATAGGGCTATACAGCTGTGCGCCGTCGCCATGGCTGGCGCCGAACCAAGAGCTTTAACGCGCTTGCTGCGAGTCTCAATTGCCGGTGGAGCTGCGCACTGTCTTTAGCACGGTTGTGCCGTTGTAGGCACGGATCTTAGGGCAATTTGCTTTTAGTTTTACTCAGCACCGGTGGAGATGCCCTAATAAGTAGTGCGCATATGGAGGAATTAAGTAATTCAAGTAGATTGAAGAATTTTTGTAAAAGTCTAAGTAGGTGAATGCATCAACTTGCAAGTAGATTGCCACAGTCAAAAATAACGTTTTATCAGAACTTGAAAACGCGATAAGAATTAAGGACAGGGTAAGATATGAAGATGATGGAGGACGAGCAAACGGAACATCAGCGATAACAAAATAAGTAGGTGCCTCATTATTGAAAACATCATGGTGCCAACTGCCCCCTGTGCAACACCAACTGGGCTGTCTCAAGTCTGCGGCAGCTCGTTGGCAAGCGTGCGTGCCTGGAAAAGCGGTACCCGATCCTAAAGGCTCAGCGACTGGAAAAGGCCCGAGCCTACAAGCGCGAGTACGATAAGCTGTACCACCGCGCTCGCCGTGACGCGCTTAACGAGCTTGACCTGCGTATCATCACTACGGCCGCAGGTGACGTGACCACGACTGTTGTTGAGTCGCTCGTCCTGTCTGTGCCTGGGGGCATTGAGTTAGGGGGTTCAACAACAGCTCAGAGCTCACCTCCCCGCTCTGCTCGACGACGTCGTGTTTTCTCGGCACCAGCTCCCCCAACGGTGATCGACATTACGGGGGAGGAGGACCAAGACGAGGACCTATCAACTTGCGCCATTTGCTAGTACGCGCCAGTGGCGCCGGTCACCCCGCGCTCATGCTGACATGCCATGTGTGCCGAGTGCATGTCAATGTACGTGGCGAGAAGCATTCAGGCCGAAGATGTAGCTAACTGCCCTACGTGTAGAGTTCCCATTCGGATGTAGCCATCCGGCTAGCCATACAGCTTTATTTTCTTCATTTTTGAGTAATTAAAAATATTTTTTTCACTTTATTTTGATGAAATGGTCTAAGCAGCAAATGATAATAAATTTGTTGTATATACTTCTTTCATTTACATTGCGTCAGTATCAATAATAGCGCACAAGAACGAGTTGTATTACTGGGAAGTAAAGTCGTACGATCGTGCGAATTGTTGCTATGGAATACCAATTTTCGTCAAGTCACAGTAAGCATCAAAGTAACACATTCGTACGATATTACAGATATAATATCTTTCACTTAAGTTTATCCTTGCAGTATATTATCTATCCTTGAACTATCACGTGTATAATACTTTCCTTCGATCCAAGTTGTATTAAAGGTAAATAAGAATTTTATGATATCATTTTCGTACGAGAAGAATTTTAAGAAAACCAAGGTCCGTTCTCGACGTATTGACACTAAGAATTCGAAATGTAATTTTTGCTTTGTTATGCTTTTGCAAAGACTTACGACTCTACTGCATACGTCTTGCAGCTCTAGTATTATTGAGTCATAGCAATGGCAGGCGACGCCGCAGAACCTGGTCGTGCAGACCTGCGTTTGTTCTTCGGCTTTGGACCCGGCTTCATGCCACGCTTCCCTAAGTCAGCTTCAGTGACGATGACTTCAGGTACTAGCAGTTGAAGATCCTGAGCGATGGTCGCCGAGCGGACGGTCGGGACAAACTGGTAGTAATATGTCCGCCGCGCGACCGACACGGTGTGTTCCTTCCAGGCGTAAAGCTCGCTCACCGTGCATTCCGTGATGAATTGCAGCTTTGACTGCATGGACACACGGGAACATCAGGTCTTGCCAGCGTCGGCACGTTGCATTCCTTCTCGATCAAGTTCACGGTTCGCCACAGATGGGCGTGGTCCGGTCTGCTGCTGATGTCCGTGAATCGCACCATGTACTGGCCATCAAGGCACGGCAAAATCTGCAGGGTTTTCGTAAGAGCCATGATCCCGTCGAGCTTCTTCTTGTAGGTGGGAAGGAGAAAGTCCGAGAAGGCTGCAGGGGTGGTCCTCATCACGTCAATTTCGCAATCGTCGTACGGCTCACCTTGGGAGGTGCTTGCGTGTCCTGCGTTGCTACCTGGACCCTTCTGTCGCGAGGAGGTGCGGCGCCTTTCGGCGAACAGCTCAACCACCTTGACGAAGTATTGCTCGAAAGCTTCCAAGGGGTAGGACGACCGCACTGCATTGCCCAACCAACTGTTCGCTGCCTCGGACAGGTTGGAAGTGACCTCGTCATAAGAGGGTTGGTTGTACTTCTCGTTGAACGCGTATGTCACCCAGTGCGACTTGTCAATTCCAGCGAGATACTCCACAGCCAAAGGGCGAGTCTCCGAGAGTTTTGAGCTGTAAAACTTGTAGTCGTTCTCGCATTCGCTACGTGCCATCTGAAACACAAGTGACTGTTCTGCCGGCGTCAGCGCGGAGCCCTTCTTCTCGATGTTGGTGATAATATGCCCAACAAAATCGATGTCCGGAATCCGGATACAACTCCGTCACAGACGCCAGGAGACCCTTCTGTCTGTCCGATACGAACACAGGTTTCCACGCCGAGACGTCTCGAAGCGCGTCTTTCATGTTCTACAGGAACCAGCTCCAATGCGTAATCCTCTTGATCGACAATAGCGGTCCGAAAACTAGGATGTGGCTGTGGTGTAGCGGGATCGGCCAAAATCTGGTGAAGATCGAATGTATTGGCGTGACGCGGGGATAGGTTGTGGAACAGCGCGGGAATCTTCGATCTGCGTCCGAGTATACGCTCCGATCGAGGGTTGTTCGCTCCGATCGGTCGGCCTGGAGTCGATCCACGGCCTGTAGTTGCCTTTCCGGGTGTGTTCCTTCCTTTCGTGAGTTGCTTGCCGCTTCCTATAGCGGGATCGAGGTTGATCGAGAGGAGAAACGATCGCCGGCCAAGCAGTATCCGGTCGATCGAGGGTTCGCACACAAGAAATAGATCGCTAGAGTAGGTCAAGCTGGCCAATGTATTAATCCAGTCTTAACCGTACCACTAGCTCACTGTCCAAAGTGTCGATGCTTGCCGAGGCCAATGTAGTTCCTGGGACTTGACGACTTGAGGGGACTTGTGCTCTTCGGTGCAAATTCTGCTCTGATTTATGTTTAGCTGGTGTCTCTCTACCACTACCATCTCACCTACCATCCTACAACTAAACAACTACTGGATTCTTGTCCTGGCTTCGCCCCCATGTGCTCCCCATCTTGGCTGATCGGCGATCGACGATCGACGATCCACAGCTCTCGATCGCGATCAGTCCACTTCGGTCTTCAGCCGTCCCACTCTACGATGTCGCTCGTTGATCTTGCCCTCGTGCATGACGTCCTTCGCTTTCGACATGCGCCCTTCGCACCGCGCCTCTTCGATCGGTGTGGGACGAGGCATCACCACTCTCCATGTGTCGATCAGCTTTGATCTACCTGGTTCCACACCCCGCCTACGTGCGAGTATCATCCCGGTGCCTCGATCGCTCGTCGAATCTCCTCGATCTCCGCAATCCCAGTCTTGTTCAGGTCGCCCTTCTCTCGATCATTGATCCCCTTGATTTTTGGTCGATCGTTTATGCCGCCTTTCTCAGAGAACAAATCTTGTTCTCGCGTTTCTCCACATGGCCTTCTAGGTCCTTCGTGGTCACCAACAGAAACACTCCGCGCTTGTTCATATCACCCTTGAGATGTGTTCCGTCCAGACCGATGACGTGTCGGCAGTGTACTTGAAGGCATGCCCCTAGAAAATCGCAAGCCCTTCTGAACATGTCATTCTCGCGCCTGCCAAACCCGTAGCTTGTCTTGGAGTTCGCATCACTCACCATGGCTAGATATCCCTCCAGCTTCTGGTAACTCCCGACGACGTCGTCGCGCAGCAATTCGAGAAGATCCCGCTTGATCTTGGATGCCGCAGTTCGGTTCGTTATCACCCCCTTAGTCATCAAAAAGTCGATGATAGCCCGCCCTGTGCCCGAGGCCCACGTTCCGCTGAAAGAGGGGAGCAACTCACGCTCAACGACGCCCCTCATCACTCGGTAGGGAACATCGCGAAGTCGCTGACGAGAGGTATCTCCTGCGAGACCGCCTTCAACAAAGGTATCGCCCTGAAAACCGCCGTGTCTGAAGTGGTCATGGGCCAGACACATCCTTGTTATCTTCCAGTTGTTGCGGATCCCGTACACCGTAATGAAAAATGGGCAGTTGGCAGTGCTGCCTGGAATGAGCTGCTGCTGCCCTTTCACCGCCTCGCAAGTGTACTTGGCGTTTCCTTCTTGACGACGAGAGTGATAGCTGTTGTTGGCCACGCGAATGGAAAAGCCACGGGCTCGAGCAAACTCGCGACAGCGTTGCAGCAGAGCCTTTTTCGACTCAAGCGTCGCAGACGCAACGATGTTCCCATGGTCGGAAACTACGCCGTAAGAAGAGGGGTCGAGGGGATCCAAGCCGACATCTAGCTCAGGTCGTAGCATGCGCATCTCGATGACTTCGGCGATGTCCGCTTCTTCGACAGCGGATGAGGTGATCATGGGCGAAGACATTGTCCGGGTGACCGAAACAGGAGAGGTGGTAGAGGTGCTGAGGCGTGTAGTTGGGTGGGTATCCGACAAAAAGACGAATGAGCCCTGCAGTGAAAACTCGCGAGCTAAGAGAACACGGGCTAAACGAGGTGGTTATGAAACTCCTACAGAGATGTGTTGCTAATCTCCGGCCCAAGATACTGAAAAAAAGTATGAACGTTCGTTTCAAAATGTACGACAAGAAGCTCAGAATACCGCGAAGTGAGATGCTCGGAATGCCCGTCCGTTTTAAAACTTACGAGTCGTAAGTTATTGCTGTCGTACGTTACAATAAACGTAAGAGTACTTAACAGAGGCGTGGCCTGCTCAGAATGCCCGTCCGTTTTAAAACTTACGAGTCGTAGGTTGTGCTTCAGACTTC